GCGATACGTTCCTCCGAAACGTCGGTTAACACCACATATACACGGTGCCAAATCCCAGAAAACTGCTTTCTTCAACGATATGTCATTTCACCAGTGTGCTGTCATCGAATTTCTTGTGAAAGAGGATATCCCTGCTGTAGAAATTCACCAGAGACTTCAGCGTGCTTATGGAAGTGTGTGCATGGGTGCAAGAAGTTTTCGAAGATGGGCGAAACATTTTCATGATGGGAACACCAGCATCGAAGATGACCCTCGGAGCAGTCGTCCTTGAACAGCCTCAACTGAACGCAACAAGGAAAGAGTGGATGGGATCATTCAAGATGACAGGCATGTGACTGCGAACACAATAGCCCGAAATCTTGGAGTAGGGTACAGTGCAATACAGGATGTGATTGAAAGCTTGGACTATAGGAAAGTCTGTGCTCGTTGGGTCCCACGGTTATTGACCAAAGACCACAAAGGTCAGCGAAAAGCCATCACCTCAGAACTGCTGCAGAGATATCGACATGAAGGCCATGATTTTTTTGCTCTGTATTGTGACAGGTGACCAAAGCTGGTTTCACCATTTCGAGCCTGAAACGAAACGGCAGAGTATGGAATGGCACCATTTGCATTTTCCATCAGAAAACAAGGCAAAGACAGTGCTATCAGCTGCAAAGGTGATGGGCACAGTCTTCTGGGATGCAGAGGGGTTTATTCTGGCAAAATTCCTGGAACCTGGGCAAACCATCAAGATGCTGCATAAGCTCCATCATGCATTGCACAATAAACGTCTGGGACGAAACATCATCATCCTGCATGACAACACTCACCTCACATTGGAAGCAATTGCAAAGATGGGGTGGGAAGTTCTTCCACATCCCTCCTATAGCCCTGATCTGGCACCCTCCAACTACCAGAGTTCAGATTTGTGAAGGATGAGCTGCGTGGACGTTTTGAGACGAGGCAATTCAAAAAGTAGTGCGTCAGTGTCTTCGGATGGCTGGAATGGAATTTTACAGAAGGGGAATTTTCAAACTCCCAGAACACTGGGAGAAATGTGTACAAAGAAGTGGCGATTATGTGGAAAAATAAAGAAAGGTCTGTAGATTCAGGTGGTGTATTTGGTTTGTCAATAATAAAGCATGTTACTTTACAAAAAAACTGTTGCTCATGACTTTCAGTACAACCCTCGTACATACCCACAATACTATGAATGTAACATTTTATTGTTATGAAATTCACTTCTTCAATTGCTGGTCTAAGTTTCCTATATATGAGAAAGACAGTGCAAGTTATAATTATCATTTTCTCTCAGCAACCACTGTACCAGTAAGACACATGCAAATTTCTGTTAAATGCAACTTACCAGCTGTTGTGCAAGTCTGACTGTACTCTGGTCCAAGCTGTGTCCAACAATCTTATTGAGAGGAATAATTGTGGTACGGCGTTGCAGTTGTCCTTTTTGCAACAACTTTTTTGCTGTTACTTCTGTGTCTACAATTACGTTAAATAGCTGAATGAAAAAATACACAAGTGCTCATTATTAATTACACTAAAATGATGGGATCGCTATATATGTTCCCAAGGAGAATATTTTGAAAGAGATAGCGGCCAAAACTGAATGTGTTAAGCCAGCATTTCTTTTTTGATCTAGTTCAGGAACTTCCCAATAGCACCTCATATAATTTGAATACTGATACTGTGGGATGAATATCAATTGCATTCTTATTTCTTGCAAACCAACATAATTTTAAATAAAGTGAACAATTTGGATAAAACATGTATTTGCTTTTAGAAATTGCAGTCTACTTACCCTTTCACCACCTGCAACTTCAAGGGCAGTGGCTGCATGTTTCTCTTTCAACTTGAACAGTTTGCAAATCAAACCCTTGACAGCTGAACGTTTGAAATTATGTTCTGGATCATGATATTGAAAGTTCAAATGTGGATACCTTTAAGGAGAGAACAGTGACCAATTTAGATGAAAAGATTTCTAACATAAATGTACAATAGTAAAATCATGACCTACTAAAGATGTTTACAACCAAGACCTCCATTCAACTGTCATGTAGGCTCTGTTGAAACTGCATTTCAGCTTAAAACTCTTGCTCATCTGGTATCCAAGCATTTGGATTTGGATTTTACAGAAAACTTACTACTCTTACAAATATACCTCAAAAATAAAGTTGCAATGAGCATATGTTCACCCATCACACAGTGGTTCTCCTACCCACTACTAGGAACATTCCTGTCACCCCCCCTTCATGTAGGTGCTGTTACAGCTGCAATAACTTATGTTTCCAATTTCTTTATTAAAACCATCACAATATTACGGTCAGTGCCTAGTTTGGCTCTGCTACATGTTTCGGCTATTAAAATCCATTATCAGGCAAATACATGGCTACCATATATACACCACTAAACTGCAGTTCTAGTAAAACTGGATACAATAATATTAATTATATTAAAATACTTGGCATAAAAATACAATAAATTAGGCTATATAAAACAAAAGTTATAGTATAAAACAAGAACAAATTCTTCAAGTAATGCTTTACATCATCAAGTCAGTCGTTGGTTTTTGTGATTTTGTTGTGTTCCTACATACAAATTGGAGTATCCTATATTTTGTGTATATATAATAAACTGTTTTGGTGGCTCATGATGTAGATGTAGTAATATTAATGTTAATCTGAAAATGATATGAAAGTAATAGTATTAAATTTTGTTATAATTAACAATTGATTTTGGCATTGAAGATATAGTGTATTATTTACTTACTATTTAGTCGGTGCCTCATCTTACAAAGTATTGTCCGTTCTGTAAGGAATGTAAACGACTGATTTGGTGATGTATGTGAAAAGTCAATGCAAGGGAGGGAGGGGGGGGGGGGGTAGAGATAAGGTGTATGTGGAAGTGATGGTAGGAGAGAAGGGGGTATAACTGTATATTATGTTTTGTATGTATCAATGATTACATCATATACAGGGTTAAATATTTCGTTAAAATTATCATTTAGTTGCAAATTTAGTTTGCTGATTTTGTAAATGTGAAATCTTTCATATGTATTCCAAGGTTCGGCCTTTCTTGCCGATATATAGGACTTCTAATGTTTTGTCTATCGTACTATATTCATGTGTGGTGTCCAATATATTGTAATGTGTTTGGAGTAGGTACTTCCATGGTAACGCAATAACAGTGAGGCATTGCATAGACAATGCCGAAACGACGAACGAATCTCCCCGGAGATGAACCGAAGACGCGTTGCATAACGGCGGACTGTCGAAGTAGTAGTAACAGAACCATGACGAATGATGTCTGGTATCTGGTCCACATAAGCAGAGGAGAAGACAGTCTTGGGATAACTGTGATCGAGGACAGCTGAGATGTCGCACTGGAGTATTGGGCCAGATGTCAGGTGATAATACAAGTGATAATAATTGTAAGGTGTGTAAGAGTGAGTTGAAAAGGAGTGGCGATAAAGCATCTCCTTGTTTTAGACCATTCTGGATAGGAAATTTATCAGACAAATGTTTACCTACACGGACTTTACTATATGTTTCATTTAAACACATTTTAATCAACCTAACTAGTTTCATGGGTATCCGAAACTCTATTAGAATATTGTACAATACTTCCCTCCTAACTGAATCATAGGCTTTCTTGAAGTCTATGAATAGCTGATGTACTGTCTCATCGTACTCCCATTTTTTCTCCAATATCTGATGAATGCAAAAGATTGATCTGTAGTTGATCTGTTACATCGAAACTCACACTAATGATCCCCAATAATTTCATCTATATATGGACTTAACCTTGAAAGAAGAATATTGGACAAAATTCAATAACTGAATCATATGCTTTCTTGAAGTCTATGAATAGCTGATGTACTGTCTCGTAGTACTCCCATTTTTTCTCCAATATCTGATGAATGCAAAAGATCTGATCTGTAACATTGAAACTCACACTGATGATCCCCAATAATTTCATCTATATATGGACTTAACCTTGAAAGAAGAATATTGGACAAAATTTTATATGAAGTTAATAGCAGTGATATCCCCCAATAATTACTATAGTCAGTTTTATCACCTTTCTTGTGCACTGGTACAATACTAGACTCCTTCCACTGATCAGGCAATTTTTCCTTATGCCAAATAGAAGTAATTAGATTGTGGATCTTAGAATGTAATATTTCACCTCCTGCTTGAATAAGCTATACCGGAATTTGACTACCTGACTATTTATACTGTTTCAATTTTGCAATAGCACTTTCAACCTCGAAAGGACTAGGATCAGGTATTAACGGCTCAGCTGTATGGATTTCTGTCTGCCTAACAGCACTGACCCTATGTGCATTCAATAACTGAGAAAAGTAGTTCCTTCACATTAGGCTGACCCACACCACCAAAAAAATATTGCGCATAATTTTTAAATTATCAATTGAGACTATTATACAAGCCAACATTATATAAAGCTGGGCACCTATTACTGTCTATCCTACCTTGCCTCAAATGTATCAATTTTTTCTTTCAGCTTTCGTATTTCAGATAAGAGCTGCTGGCGCTCATCCTGAAGCTGTTCAATGTGACCATCTTCATACTGGATTTTCTGCAACTGAGTCTGTAATAGAGAACAGACATCACATCAAATTGTAGAATTTAAAATCAAGAAAACAGAACAAGATCTAAAAGTTTGTGACAATGGTACATTAATATAATTACTGTGTTTTTGGACAACTATGCACAACTGAGTAAGTTTCTGCCTGAAGGTGGAGACAGAATCCAGTCTGCAAAATGCTATTTTAAATAAAAAAATAGGACCATGGATAATGCCCAAAAACACAGTAACTGTATCAAGAAAACAGCCCAACAAAAGTTTTCAAGTTTGTACAGACACACCTAAAGTTTCAAAATTAATTTAATACCATATTTGACACAGTTCACTGCATACCTAAATTCTCAGGCAGCTCAACTTCAAGTGATTCTGAGCTCCCTGGGATATGAAAAGGCATTGAGTACTCGAACTGGAAGTCTAAGCTGCTGTATATGACAAAACAAAGGGATGAAGTGTGAGGAACCGAAAGGCTGCAGATGGAATCCAAATTTTCACAATGAACAACTACTCACAAATAATTCTGTGTGTTCAAGTTTCTATAGAAAAATACTATAAAATAAGCCACAACTGCTTACTTTCACATAATTCCTGATTCACCTTTCATAAATAGTATACTGCTGTATCTCTTTTGATAACAAGGATTTCAGCAGCCAAAAACAAGTGTTGAAAAAAATATTTGGAGCTATAAAAATGAAGAAATGACAGAACATGGAAAACTACATTATGCGCTTGATAATTTGTATCCTTCAGCCAGCAGTCAGCAAGGTTCAATACGGGATAAGATGGTCACAACATGAAATATACTTGCAGCAAAGATATACATATATACCATATGTCCAAAAAGTATCCAACTTTATTTTTTTCTGCTGTAAGTAATGGCCAGAGGGGTGGGGAAACTGAGCATGGTGGTAGAAGGGACTTTCATGAGCATGCGTGATTTTTTGCTGACTCGCAACACTGCCGGATGCGTCTGTGACTGCCAGATAGCGTAGTGGTGCAACACGTGTTCGTCGCATTCTCATTTCACTCAAGAGGACAGAACGTTTGGAGCAGTGATAGTGCATTAAGTTTTGTCAGAAACTTGGGGATACACAAGCGGAAACAATTTGCAAAATTCAGCAGGCTTTTGGCAATGATGCAATGGGGTGTCACTCAAATTAAAGAGTGGTTCAACCACTTTAAACATGGTCGTATGTGGGTGGACAGTGAGCAGCGTTCCGGGAGACCATCAATGCTGATGTCATTGAAAAAGTGCGGGACACTGATCATGGAGGACCGTCATTTGGCCATCTGTGAAGTTGCTGATGAGGTTCGGATCAGCAGAGGTTCCGTAAACACTATTTTAACCAAGGATTTGGGCATGCGAAGAGTGGCAACAAAATTTGTGCCCAAGTTGCTTTCGCCGGAGCAGTAACAACTCCGCCTTGTGGTCGCGCAGGACATGCTGGGGTGCGCCAACAGGGATCCTGAGTTCCTGAAGACTGTGATCACTGGTGACGAGTTGTGGGTGTACGGATATGACCCGGAAACCAAGGTCCAGGCGTCACAATGGGAGCATCAAACATCCCCTAGGCCCAAAAGAGCCCAACAGGTTCAAAGCACTGTGAAGGTGATACTATTTTTTTTTTCGATTACCGGGGTGTTGGGCATCACGAGTACACACCACTAGGCCAGACTGTCAATAAGGAGTACTACCAAGAAGTCCTCCACCATCTTTGTGATGCAGTTCAGCACAAGAGACCAGAGCTGTGGGACACACACAACTGACAGCTGCATCATGACAATGCCCCAGCTCATTCATCACGNAAAGTAGTTCCTTCACATTAGGCTGACCCACACCACCAAAAAAATATTGCGCATAATTTTTAAATTATCAATTGAGACTATTATACAAGCCAACATTATATAAAGCTGGGCACCTATTACTGTCTATCCTACCTTGCCTCAAATGTATCAATTTTTTCTTTCAGCTTTCGTATTTCAGATAAGAGCTGCTGGCGCTCATCCTGAAGCTGTTCAATGTGACCATCTTCATACTGGATTTTCTGCAACTGAGTCTGTAATAGAGAACAGACATCACATCAAATTGTAGAATTTAAAATCAAGAAAACAGAACAAGATCTAAAAGTTTGTGACAATGGTACATTAATATAATTACTGTGTTTTTGGACAACTATGCACAACTGAGTAAGTTTCTGCCTGAAGGTGGAGACAGAATCCAGTCTGCAAAATGCTATTTTAAATAAAAAAATAGGACCATGGATAATGCCCAAAAACACAGTAACTGTATCAAGAAAACAGCCCAACAAAAGTTTTCAAGTTTGTACAGACACACCTAAAGTTTCAAAATTAATTTAATACCATATTTGACACAGTTCACTGCATACCTAAATTCTCAGGCAGCTCAACTTCAAGTGATTCTGAGCTCCCTGGGATATGAAAAGGCATTGAGTACTCGAACTGGAAGTCTAAGCTGCTGTATATGACAAAACAAAGGGATGAAGTGTGAGGAACCGAAAGGCTGCAGATGGAATCCAAATTTTCACAATGAACAACTACTCACAAATAATTCTGTGTGTTCAAGTTTCTATAGAAAAATACTATAAAATAAGCCACAACTGCTTACTTTCACATAATTCCTGATTCACCTTTCATAAATAGTATACTGCTGTATCTCTTTTGATAACAAGGATTTCAGCAGCCAAAAACAAGTGTTGAAAAAAATATTTGGAGCTATAAAAATGAAGAAATGACAGAACATGGAAAACTACATTATGCGCTTGATAATTTGTATCCTTCAGCCAGCAGTCAGCAAGGTTCAATACGGGATAAGATGGTCACAACATGAAATATACTTGCAGCAAAGATATACATATATACCATATGTCCAAAAAGTATCCAACTTTATTTTTTTCTGCTGTAAGTAATGGCCAGAGGGGTGGGGAAACTGAGCATGGTGGTAGAAGGGACTTTCATGAGCATGCGTGATTTTTTGCTGACTCGCAACACTGCCGGATGCGTCTGTGACTGCCAGATAGCGTAGTGGTGCAACACGTGTTCGTCGCATTCTCATTTCACTCAAGAGGACAGAACGTTTGGAGCAGTGATAGTGCATTAAGTTTTGTCAGAAACTTGGGGATACACAAGCGGAAACAATTTGCAAAATTCAGCAGGCTTTTGGCAATGATGCAATGGGGTGTCACTCAAATTAAAGAGTGGTTCAACCACTTTAAACATGGTCGTATGTGGGTGGACAGTGAGCAGCGTTCCGGGAGACCATCAATGCTGATGTCATTGAAAAAGTGCGGGACACTGATCATGGAGGACCGTCATTTGGCCATCTGTGAAGTTGCTGATGAGGTTCGGATCAGCAGAGGTTCCGTAAACACTATTTTAACCAAGGATTTGGGCATGCGAAGAGTGGCAACAAAATTTGTGCCCAAGTTGCTTTCGCCGGAGCAGTAACAACTCCGCCTTGTGGTCGCGCAGGACATGCTGGGGTGCGCCAACAGGGATCCTGAGTTCCTGAAGACTGTGATCACTGGTGACGAGTTGTGGGTGTACGGATATGACCCGGAAACCAAGGTCCAGGCGTCACAATGGGAGCATCAAACATCCCCTAGGCCCAAAAGAGCCCAACAGGTTCAAAGCACTGTGAAGGTGATACTATTTTTTTTTTCGATTACCGGGGTGTTGGGCATCACGAGTACACACCACTAGGCCAGACTGTCAATAAGGAGTACTACCAAGAAGTCCTCCACCATCTTTGTGATGCAGTTCAGCACAAGAGACCAGAGCTGTGGGACACACACAACTGACAGCTGCATCATGACAATGCCCCAGCTCATTCATCACGCTTGATCCAGGGTTTCCTGGCCAAGCACGGCATTCCGCAGGTTCGCCAGGCTCCCTACTCTCCTGACATGGCTCCTTGTGATTTCTGGCTGTTCCTGAGATTGAAGACACCACTAAAAGGCTGCCGTTTTGACAGCCACAAGGACATCATACAGAACACGACAGCGCAGCTGCACACTATTCCAGAAGAAGCCTTCCAGAATTGCTTCCAGCGATGGAAGGACTGCTGGGCTAAGTGTGTGGAGTCACAAGGGGCCTTCTTTGAAGGCGATTAGGTATTGTAACCACCCACATACAGAAATATTTTTTCCCAGCCCAAGGTCAGATACTTTTTGGACAGAGTAGTATACATATACACTCAAGTGCCAAAAGTCAGGGGACAGCAGTATCTAAATTTATTTTTAAGTGGCGCCACCGTCCCTTGACGGCTTGGGAATGCCCAGAGCATTATCAGTTGTGAGGTGTTCTCTCATGAGTCAGGATGAACACCAGCTAGTCTGCTCATGGCAAGCCAACGTGAATTATCGGAGTTTGAACGAGGCATGATAGTGGGTGCCAGGCAGATGGGACATTCCATTTCCGAAGTTGTGCGGTCATTCAACATTCCTCGATCCACGGTGTCACAAGTGTACCGGGAATACCTTGTGGAAGGCATTTCCACCCACCGAGGACAGCGCAGTGGCCGACCACGGGTGCTTAATGATCGTGACCAGCAACATCTAGCTAGAATTGTCCGTGGTAAGACAAGCGACACTAGCTGAAATCACATCCACATTCAATGCAGGAGGTACCAGACACATATCCAGCAGGTCAGTACGGCGTTCTTTAGCTTCCATGGGATATGGGCGCAGAAGACTGACCAGAGTGCCTCTGTTAACACCACGACACCAGACACAACACTTCACCTGGGCTTGTGACGTCACTAATTGGACCCTGGAGGATTGGCAACATGTGGCGTGGTCCAATGAGTCACGGTACCAGTTGTTTCAGGCAGATGGTAGGGTTCGGGTGTGGTGCAGACCCCATGAGGCCATGGACCCCAGTTGTCAACAAGGCACCATGCAGGCTGGTGGTGGTTCCATTTGGTGTGGGAGGTGTTCACGTGGCATGAGTTGGGTCTGCTCGTCCACCTAAACACGTAATTGACTGGTGACCGCTACATTACACTGCTTGGTGACCATTTGCAGCCCTTCATGGACTTCATGTACCCCCACAACGATGGGATATTCCAGCAGGACTATGCACCGTGTCATCGGGCAGGAGTTGTCTAGAATTGGTTCGAGGAGCATTCTGGAGAATTCTGACGAATGGAGTGGCCAACACATTCACCCACCATGAAATCAATTGAGCATTTATGGGACGTGGTGGAGAGGTCCATTCGCACCCAAAATCCTGCACCTACAAATACCAGGGAGCTGTGGGCAGCAATCCAGACGGCATGGCTCAACATCTCTCCAGAGGGCTTCCATCCACTTGTGAAATTGATGCCATGTCGAGTTGCTGCAGTTCGCCAGGCTAGAGGGGGTCCTACACGATACTAGGTACCTATCCCATGACTTCTGGCACGTCAGTGTATATATATATATTGTAATGTGTTTTGCTACTGAAGACGCTGTTCGGATTGTTAATTGGTTTATTTAACAACCTACAAGTCTTGGCTACAATTAATTATAACACTGTTACGGGTTTACACAATTTCCAAACCCTACACACTATTCTGTCCACTCTGTCCTCAGTAGTCTATACATATTCACAGTACAGTACGGGAGCTATTCCAGTGTCACTGTATTACACACTCCCAATTACTTCTCTTGTGAGCCAAGCATCTGCTTCTCACGCCATCACTTCTAATCACACGTTCCAGTATTCTTTCCGCTACAACTGAACTCAGCGACTGTTCCATCCGCACTGTGTCACTCCTGCTCACACACTAACTAACTACTAACTCCCTGGCTAACTCGTAACTGACTGTGAATAGTGTTCGCTGCTCCTTATTTAGCCTTGGCATGGACAAGACAGAAAACAGTTACGTGATAGGTACTGCTGTTGCCTGACGCCGTGTTTGCCGATAGCCTAGCAATGCTGACGAGAGTTGTTTACTGCTGCATAGCAACCGTGGCATTCCGTGTTACATCACCACGGCAATGGCTGCCTGGTGCCGCCGCTACTCTGCCACGTCACTGCGGGGAAGGGGATGTCAACCAAGCGTTGCACACTGATGGACGGAGTGGGGGTATGTGACGTCACTCGTGAAATCACAGAGTTCACACGACCCCCACCTCCCGCTACGCCATCCACGTCACATTACGTTACAATGCTCTGTGATAGATGGATGGATTCAATCTGATCATATTTTGTTAATACAAAAACGCCTGGAAACGCTTTGTTTATGCGCTAGGGCCTGTGAAATGTGGAGGAGGTTGCCCTTACCTCTTACCTCTGTGGCTTACTGGTGACGTTTATCTAATATTTCTCCAAGAGACTTTACCTGAGTGGCTGGAAGTGGTGCCTCTGGTAGTCCGACATGAAATGCGGTTCCCGCATTATGGAGCCCCAGCACACTGCACTAATGCTGTCCATGATTATTTGGATGAAACCTTTGGCAACAGATGGACTGAACGTGGAAGCCCAATAATCTGGCCCCCTCGCTCCCGTGACTTGACTCCATTGGTCTTCTTTCTCTGGGGGTACATGCAAAGCCTGGTGTACGAGACTCCAGTGGAGATGCAACATGATCTTGTGGCAAGAATTGCATTAGCAGCTGGAACCATCCAGGAACGGCCAAGTATCTTTCAAAGAGTTCAGCGTAACATGGCCAGGTGGTGCAGAACATGCAATGAAGTTCACGGCCGCCATTTTGAGCAACTTTTATAATGTAAAACAACAATAATATCCCCTAAAACATATGCATCTTCTCAGAAATTTTTGTAACCTTTAGTGCCAAAAGGAAGCGTTCCCAAAAATGGATGTATTAAAAAAGCATGATCAGATTGAAACCATTTACTTACACCAGAGCGTTGTAACATATATTTATTAAGCCCTATATATATATATATAGACACACACACACACAAAATCCTGTTGAAAACATAAAGGGAGACAAATTGGGAGACCCAAACAACCATGGAAGGGTAATATCAAAATGACTCTAAAGAAAATACAATATGAAAATATGACAGGATCCCTAGAAAAATGGAATTTATTCATCAGTTAAGTAACAATCGTCTCAATAGCACCCTGCACAATGAAATTAGATTTACATAAAAAAAACATACCTCCATATTGGCATGTTCCTTCTCCATGTTCTCAAGATTCCTTCTATCCTTCTCATACTCTGTTGCAGTTTGTTCCAGCTCCTGCTGTTTTTCTCTCAGCTCTTTCTGATAGTGCTGCAACTGCATCTGAGACTGTTTAACTTCCGTTTGTGCCTGTGCCTCCTCCTGCTTAGCAGCTGCAACCATCAAGACACACAGAAAGTCAAACAAACTGAAAAACCTCACAAATATGCAGCAATGGCTCTGTTTACAAAGATAAGACAAAAGAACATAAATGAATAAACAGCATGTCTGAACCAAAATGCAAAATTATCAAGACGGATCAAGAGTAGAAAAGAATACTCCACTGGATTTACGTACATAGTTCCCAAGTAAACTCTTTTGTTTTTTGCACACTTCACTGGTTTTAATAAAAACTGTAGCAAATACCAAGATCATTATTTCATATTATGTATGGTGAGCCATATTCCAGAACACTAATAAATATTCCACTTGAATTACATATACAGAAGGGAGAAACAGACATGAATCAAAATCAAATTAATCTAACAACTTCTAATATAGCATGACAGTAACAATTTTGATCAAAATTCTCTCAGCAGTTTTGGAGATGAAGTATGCAGATGGATTGGATCTTCCCATAAGCCATCATTTTATGCACTCCATACAAAACACCCAACAACTCTGCAGGATTATAGCTACGAGGTGCTGTTGGAAAGTTCCCGGTCTGTTACTGTTCTGCATTGGTGAAAGATGAGAAGCAAGGCCAAGGCCGCATGTCCGCAAGCGTACTGCATCAGTCTGCCATATGACACCACGCTGTGAACAGCCATTGTTTTACATGGGTGCTTTACCAACTTCATGTTTCATTTTGTCTGTGATGGATGGCAAAATCAAGCAATGTGTCTGCATCAAGTTTTGTGTGAAGCTCAGTAAATCAGATACGAAAACCCTTGAAATGCTTCTTGAGGCTTTTGGAGAAGATTCTTTAAGCCAGACAGCAGTTTCTAAACGGCATTCATGTTTCAAGGCCAATCAAGTGTCAGTTGAAGATTACAAACTTTCAGGGCAACCAAGCACCAGCAAAATGACAGAAAATATTGAAAAAATTTGAGAACATCCATGAAGACTTTTGCTAAACAATCCATGAGCTCACAGACACTGCTGGGATCAGTTATGGAGTTTGCCAGATCTTAACAGAAAATTAGAACATGCACCGCACTGCCATGAAGTTTGTTCCGTGACTCTTGACAAATGATCAAAAGCAGCAACACATAAACGTGTCTTCAACCATGAGAGAAGGCCAATGAGGATCCAACTTTTACTTGTATCTGTAGGATCATAAGGGTTGAGGAGAGTTGTATTACAGTTATGATCCAGAAACAAAGCAACTTTTCTCACAGTGGAAGGGCCCACAGTCACCTAGGTCCACAGTTAAACAAAGAGCATGCTCATTGTTTTTTCAACATGAAGGGGATTGTTCACCATGAATTTGTTCCTCCTAACACTATGGTCAACTCTGACTTTTACTGTGAAGTTTTGAGACTCTTGAGAGAAAATGTGAGATGAAAAAGATCGGAACTTTGGCCCAACCACGAGTGGCTCCTTCATTATGACAACGCTCACACCCACAAGTCCTTGAAAACCATAGAGTTTGTGACTAACAACAACATGGTTATCATTTCCCATCCTCCCTACTTGCTGGTCCTAGGCCCCCTGTGATTTCGCTCTGCTTCCCAAATTGAAAATGAAACTGAAGGAATCATGTTTTGAAACAGTGTCCGACATCCAAAGGGAACTGCAAGCAGTACTCAACTGCATTAAGGAATATGACTTCCATAGTACTTTTGAAGCGGGGGAAAAAACGATAGGATCGCTGCATATATTCCCAAGAAGACTACTTGAAGGAGATGGCAGCCAAAATTGAGTAAGTTAACTTACTCAATTTTGGCTGCCAGCATTTCTTTCTTGACCGAGTACAGAATTTATTATTCATGCTAATAAGTTGAACAAACATTAATCCTCAAATAGAACATATGGACTCTGAAACAGGCGTACCCATGAGCTGATCTTGTAGAGTTGAGTCTCCCCCATCACCATCAGTCATTAGTCCAGTGCTGAGATTCTGAAACTTTCGCTGTGCAGTTGCAAGAGCTGCTGCATCAGCCGTGTCTCTATCTTTTAACTCATGGAAGTGCTCCTGCACCTTCTGCAGCTCAGCTTCCTTGACTGACAATGAAGCTTCGTCCTGAAATAAGGTGCATTATTACCAGCGTTGACAACAGCAATTACACATTCGAATACAATTTGTATCAGGACTTTGGGTATGTATCTATACCACGACATGTATGAAACATTCACATCTAAACTGGAATAATTACGCAAACAGACTTTTAAAGAAAATGTTTGCACTACTAACACGGGCACCACCTGGATATTTTCTGTGTGTGTGTGTGTATGTGTCCAGTCATTTCTCTTTTTTTTTTAGGGGGGGGGGCACAAAATTTGCTTACAAACTTACATTTAAGCCATTTAATACATTTTTACTGACTGCTCTAGAGTATTCAGGAAAGAAGAATAATTGAAACACTTCAAATTTGTATTATTAATGTTTTGCACATTTCTTTCTCTTCATTAATTTTGATTTTTTTTTTTTTCAAATAATGTGGGGTGGGGCAGATGCCTAGTTAGCCCCTAAGTAAGAGATTAACCTTTAAGTGACGGCCCTTTAAATTCCGGTAACGGCAGCGGGAAGGATTAGATTTAAATACCCGCAATTTTAAAGTAATAAAAACTGTAATCATTTCCTAAAATTGCTGTGATTTCTACAATTTTTGTGATAAACGTACNTCAGATTGTTTTACCGACAATTCTGAGAGTGGCGTTGAGGAAAGTGATTCAGAAATGGATTTCGAGGAAGACCCATCATCTTGGTCGGCAACCTGGGGACCACCACACCAGCATGGCAAGAGGAGTGTGAATAATTATTCAGGTGGAGCTGTGGGCAAACTGTGGCAAACAGTTATAGCATCTGTCGTCGAACCTGGAAATGGACAAATAAACTATTTTTCCATCTCCTGGATCTGAACAGTTACATCCTGTTGTCACACAGAGAATTTCGTCTCGCTCTTGTGCAGAACATGCTGGAAGGGGTCCACCTCGCCATCAATGGCCCAGGGGTCGAACCCCTGCCATTTTATCGGAGATATCTCGATTATGGGAGGCCAAACCACATCACTGGCCAACTTCCTCTACTTCGCAATTGAGGTGTCATGTGTGTTTTCGCGTGGGAAACGAAGAACCGTCTAGACAAAGTGCGTGAAGTGCGACGTCGGACCCTGGATTTCTGGATGTTTCCAAGATTTCCATACAAAGCCAACTTCCGTTAGACGATGCAGGTGGGAAGAGAGACAACTTATAAAGCTGGTGACCAAAAATCATATAAGTAGAAAAAGAATTTATAACTTAAAATTAGATTTTAAAAAGCCGGCCGCACGCGTGGAATGCGCGACGACATATGGCATCATTCGTCCCCTTGACTTTATTTTCATGACGCCATATGGTGTCGCTCGGCTCTTAAAGGTTAACTAATGCAAATAAAAATTCAGTAACATCCCATTTTGGATGTTATGGAGATACAAAATATTTGTCGGTTGTGAGAAACTGAATGAACTCCTGACGAACCTGGCAGTGATGAAACTATCGTCACCACCACCTGCACATACAATCAAAGAAATTCCATTAACACAAAAATGTGTAAATGTCTGCTTTTCACTGACCTGAAGTTATTGTAAGTTAACAAACTCCATGGAAGGCAGTCCATCTCACAAAGGTGACAGCCAGTCAACCGGTGATGAAATTCCCCGTTTTTTGTGGAGCCCCAAAGTCCACTTCCATGTTCACAAGAGCCCAACACTGATTACTATCCTGAGCAAGATAAAACCAGTCCACTTCCTAATTCCTTATGACCCACTTTAATATTATCCTCCAATCTATGCCTACTTCTCCCAAGTGGTCCTTTCCCAACATCTGGTACATGTCCCACCAATCTCATTCTCCTTGATTTCATCAGCCTTATATCTGGCAAAGAGTACAGATTATGAAGTTCTCCATTATGCAACAATGTCCATCTTCCTGTTACTTTCTGTCTGAGGTCCAAATACTTTCCTCAGCATTTGTTCTCCAGCACCTTTACTTTATGTTCCTTCCTTAGCCTGAGAAACCGAGTTTCACACCCACACGAAACGTCAGGAAAAATTATACTACTTCATTATATTTGAATCTTTAGGTTCTTATTCAGTATGAGCTCTGTTTCAGTGGTGTGTGGTTCAATCTCAACTAGACTTGGAAAAGAAGCATTTTTATTTACCACACGTAAACTCTGCTCCAGTTGTTTCTTCTTCTTCTCCTCAGACACTACACTATCATGGTTTGCCTTATGTGCAGCAACAACTTCAGCTTCTTCCTTTTCCTTTGCCTTTAATTCCATCTCCAGAGCCTGCAATTTACTGCCACCCTCCTGAAAGAGATGCAGGAAAACAAATGAAATAGTTAAATTCATATACTTTGACACTGACAGACCAATTCAATTTCAATCTTTTAATGCTTGACTTATATTCTATATAGCTAAAGTCTGTGGCTGATGACTGTTAGGATCTCAAAGTATGTTGCAAGATTGATATGGCTGTTCCAAAAATATTCACTAAATGGTGTCCGGACGAAAGGTATCAAAATAAAATAACTATATCTCAGAAAGCTTTTATTATGCACATTTATGGGTTACACAACTACAAAGGGAAACTATCAAAGTTTTTTCTAAGTATGTAACTTCCTCACTAATTTCAATGTGGACCCCCTTGGTGGCATGACAAATATCCAGACGATACAGCATGTTTGGTGTTACCATAGCCACAGCATCCCTTATGCAGGCTTTCAGGTGTTGCAGGTCATTGATCTTAACCTGGTAGACAATGTCCTTCACATAACCCGACAAGAAAAAATTCAGTGGGGTTAAATATGATGACCTAGGAGGCCAAGCAATTGATCCACTTCTGCTGATCTATCTCCCAGCCATTACTCTGTCCAAGTGATTCCTAACATGGTGGCAGAAATGTGGCGGCGCATGCGCGTAAGCTGGGCATGGAAAAAAGAACTTACAGGGTTTTCCTTTCCGATGACATAAACCAAATCCCCATGCTGTCTGTGTGTCTGTGTTTCGCCCGCTATCAATTTTTGAATGCTTGAACCAATCTTTATGAAACTTGGTTATGTATATCATGGCACTTGAGCCCATCTCAATATCATACTTCATAATTGCCTCCCATCAGTCTGTGTGTTTATTTTATCCCCTTACTGTTGCTAGGCAATAGCTCAGTAAAAATGTTACCACACCAACGAATACACACAATAATGGAAGAAATGCTGGACACGTTTTCTATGTGGTCCATGTCATATCAAAATGAAGCAGGCAGTTAGTTCTTCCCACAACTTCTTTCATTTATGGTTTGTTTAAGAATGCTGTCATTACCTCAGGTTATATATCATGGAATGACATGATAACTAATCAGAAAGGACTTAGAAGGAAGCAGTCATGGCCTATTATGATTCAAACTGGGCACCATCCAAACACAAGCCAGAAGTGTTACAACCTCTGCCAGCTTGTTAGGCATACAAGATCTGTAGGAATAAAATGTAGTGCACTAGGAAACTGTGCTCTATGGGTTTTACCTGGAATTCCTTATTTGTGAAGCCAGATACATTAAATATTATTTACCATGCTTGGCTGTAAGCTTTCAGCTGTCTGGCAACTTACATCTGAAGTCTTACACATTAATACAACTAAACCATTCCCCAGACTTTACCTGTATGCAGAGAGAGAGAGAGAGAGAGAGTGAGAGTGCGTGCGTGTATACTACAAGTATTAATCTTACCATATTCTTTTTTTCCTTCAGGTCTACTGTTTGCTGGTCCAGATCCTGAATTTCTTTCTCTCCATCCTTTATCTTCTGTTTGATGTCTTGAACATTCCTGTGAACATCTTCAAGCCTTTCTTTAGTCTTTCCTCTAACCTCCTATATGTACAAAAAAATATTCTTTTAGTTTGAAAGCCATGCAGAAGAAACATTGTTACAGCATACTTCACATTACGTTATTGTGAAGCATTGCCAGGCAATGTTAATGCATGCATAGTGATATCATTCAACAGCAGAGAAAAGGTGTTTCCTGTGGTCTGCACCACGCAACAACAGAGAGGCTGTGTTTTCTGTGCAAGGTCATGCCAAGAGGATATAAGAGATTGCCTTCACTTGAGTTCCAAAGTTCCAAGGGAACACCAGTGTGACCAGAAGATGAATTAGAAGACGTTACATGCCGTTACGTACGCTGCAGTACATCAATATTGGGAGTGTGTAATTTAGTGAGACTTTTATAGAAGATCTAAAAGTTTGTGACAATGGTCTATTGCTACAAGTATTATGTTTTTGGACATTATCCATCATCTTGTCTGGAGATAGGAGCTAGCTCTATCTATTGGACCCAACTGAGTAGGTTTCACCTGAGGACAGGAACAGAATCCAGTCTCTGAACATTGTGTTTTTAAAGAGACTTTTATAGTTCCCATGTTATAAATCCATTGCCAGGAAACGGGGACTGAAGACTAGTGGAAACAGACTGAGAAGTTTAGAGTGGAGTGATTGTAAATTGTGTAAATCAGCAACAGTGTAATAATTGTTAGTAGTTACGACCTGTAGGTGGTTATTAAATCTAGTTACCAATCCGAACGCTGTCTTTAGTCACTTATACGCGTGATAATATATTAAAAATGAATGTAATTTTATTAAAGCATGCGCCATAGCTCAAGCAGTTAGTCGCTGGCTTCCCACCGCAGTGGCCCAGGTTCAATCCTGGGCCTAGTAAAGTTGGATTTGTGGTGGACAAAGTAGCGCTGGGGCAGGTTTTCTCAGAGTACTTCGGTTTTCCCTGCCAATCTTCATTCCACTAACTGATCCACAATCACCCTCACCTATCATCTGGGGCTGGTACAGTAGGCCAGAAGTGGCCGCAGCACAAGGGACTTAGTCCCACCACAATAGCAATAAAAAAATTATTAATCTCCCATATCCATGCCAAAATTTTTCAGTTTTAGATACTTCACTATATTGTAGAGGGAGCAAGGGTAGCTCAGTTGGCATAGTGATTCCTGGTATGAACTACTTTTTCTCTACTCCACACCACACAAACCAGCTTTGGGGCCAACTCAGTCTCCTATCAAATGGGTACTAGGGGTTCTTTCCCTGGAGGTAAAGTAGCCAAGGCATGAAGCTGCCTACTCACCTCCCTCTAGTGCCGAGGTCAAGAATGGTGCAGCTATACTTCTACTCCACATACATCTTCATGGCATGGCAGTTAATTAATTAAGCACAGGGACAACTTTACTTTTATTGTATTGTAGATTTCAATAAGCAGAAAGCATATGATACTACACTCAACTCTTGATTATCCGGGATAATGGTGGGGATGGAAATCACGATTAATCGAAAACCCGGTTAAGACAAATTTTATTAAAAGTAGTACTGTAATACTGTACCTTCATAATACTACAGGCCTACCTGTATTTAAATTTATTCAACCTCATTTTTATGTCATCTCATGGCCTATTTAATACTTTTTTACATTACACTGAATTATGAATTAGTTATTTCAATCACAGTGCTCAACAACATCCAACACTTAAAACTTAAAAAATTTAATATTGTCGTTTGCTTTTTCGCGGCATTTTCCTCTTTACGGCTATCCGTACGAAGCCTACGTAATATTAGCTTGTCACTTAATAAACTGTCCTCTTCACTCTCAAGATAGTCTAGTAAGGATTGCAAATGATTAAGAGCAGAACTGTCCACCTCTTCCTCATTCTCACTTTTGTTTTTTCAAATCTCGAACAGTTTGTTCTCCAATACTGTATTGCATTGCTAATTGTTTAACTACACCTCTTTTCCCAACTGATTGATAATTTCAAGTTTCTGTTGAATACTTAACACAACACGCTTCCTTTTACACCCTGATATTTTGCTAACGCACTTAAAGATCGATACAAAGCGACTAACTGGGGCGATGTATCTCTCCTTGAAACTTTCCACAAATCCTTGCATTCTTTCACCCCTACCCTAGAATATTGTGTTAGCTCAACGGGACCAAAGAATGCAGAACTCTGTTCATACTAGTGCGAAAATAGTGTTCCAACTCACCATGTGAAACAAAAGTGAATAAATATTAAACAATATATAAGCCTCAAAAAGGCATCAGTAGCCCCGGTTAAGCCGCAAACCGGTTAATCCGCCCACGGATAATCGAGAGTTGACTGTATCTGAATTTCAACAAGTTTGTAGTGTAACTTACAAAGCACTCATTACAGAGTGTAACAGCATTTGTTACTTCTTTCATCAAGCTGAGTAAACCATAACATTCTCCTTGACACAAAAGAATGTTCCCTGTTTATATCAACATTCATAAGGATAGATGAAGACCGCCTGTGGTCTTGTGATCAGAGTTCCTGGCTACAGATCCAGAGGTCCCTGGGTTCGATTCCAGGCACTACAAGATTTTCTGAGAAGTAATGGGTCTGGAATGGGGTCCACTCAGCCTCATGAGGATAATTAAGGAGCTATTTAAAAAAAAATAGCTGCTCCAGTCTAGAAAACCGAGATTAACGGTCATGAGGATCCATTGTGCTGACCATGCGACACCCACTATCTGCTAAAATTGGCACTAACTTCGCCAAAAAGCGGCGGTCGCTAGGCAGGTATAGTTCGCTTGCAGACGACAGGCCACAGAGTTTGTTTGTTTTATGGATAACTGGAAGAAGCCTTGGTCCCAGACAGATTACAGAGACTGGCTTCACTCACTTCTATGTTATCATCAGTTACAGCTGTTTAGTTTAGTGCAGAGTATGTAGAGCCTTATCAACTATCCCCTTCACAGAATGGTGCTTATGCAAAGGGACAACCTTACATTATACAGGAAGCAGATATGCATTTAATCAAAGCTAACCTGCGCAGAGTAGTACTGCCATGCTATATGAAATCTGGTATGATATTCCAGTTCTCGTTGCACCTTCTGGTATTCTAGGTATCGCGATCGTTCATCATGCATTTTTTGCAGTTTTGGATTAATTTCTTCATTTATAACCTGTAACAAAAGAGATCTTATTCAAGCAGGAGGCGAAATATTACATTCTAAGATCCACAACCTAATTACTTCTGGCCATCTTGTAGTGCACTCAATCTCACATGTCACTTCACTACATGTTTTGGCATCACTGTGCCATCCTCAGGCGTGTTATTTACGTCAAGCTATTGCACTGCTCGCCATTATGTGTCATTTATAAAATTATCTAAAATGCACACTCTTCGCTAACTATAATAAAATTTATATATATTTCAATTTGTTAATATCCATCATCTTACACGTCTTAACTCAAATTTGCATACTGCATCATTCTTCCACTATGGGAATCGTTCTTCTTATATTTTGTGTATACTGTGTCTTGTGATGTGTCCTTTTTTGGCTGCGAGCATTGTACAACGCATTTTAGATAATTTTATAAATGACATATGATGGCGAGCAATGCAATAGCTTGACATAAATAACACACCTGAGGATGGCACAGTGATGCCGAAACATGTAGTGAAGTGACATGTGAGACTGAGTGCACTACAAGACGGCCAATACGTACATATCACGGACAAGAATCAGTGAAACAGGACACTAAAATACAACATTATAATTACTTCTATTTGGCATAAGGAAAAATTGCCTGATCAGTGGAAGGAGTCTATTATTGTACCAGTTCACAAGACGGGTGATAAAACTATCTGTAGTAATTATTGGGGGATATCACTGCTATCAACTTCATATAAAATTTTGTCCAATATTCTTCTTTCAAGGTTAAGTCCATATATAGATGAAATTATTGGGGATCATCAGTGTTGATTTCAACGTAACAGATCAACTAAAGATCAGATCTTTTGCATTCATCAGATACTGGAGAAAAAATGGGAGTACGATGAGACACTACATCAGCTATTCATAGACTTCAAAAAAGCCTATGATTCAGTTAGGAGGGAAGTACTGTACAATATTCTAATAGAGTTTGGGATACCCATGAAACTAGTTAGGTTGATTAAAATGTGTTTAAACAAAACTTACAGTAAAGTCCGTGTAGGTTAACATTTGTCTGATAAATTTCCTATCCAGAATGGTCTAAAACAAGGAGATGCTTTATCGCCACTCCTTTTCAACTTTGCCTTAGAATATGCAATTAGGAAGGGCCAGGGAAACCAGGTGGGACTGAAATTAAACGGGACGCATCAGCTGTTGGTCTACACTGATGATGTGAATCTTATGGGTGATAATGTAGATACCATAAGGAAAAAACACAAACTTTAATGGACGCAAGTAAAGAGGTTGGTCTAGAAGTAAACACAGAGAAAACTAAGTATATGTTGCTGTCTCGTCACCAAAATGCAGGGCAAAATCATGACATAACGATAGGAAACACATGTTTTGAAAATGTGGCACAGTTCAGATATTTGGAAACAACAATAACAGTTCGAAACCTGATTCAGGAGGAAATTAAGAGGCGATTGAACTCGGGTAATGCTTGCTACCATTCAGTCCAGAACCTTTTGTCTTCGCGTCTGTTGTCCAAAAACATAAAAATTAGAATATAAAAAACTATAATTTTGCCTGTGGTTATGTATAGGTGTGAAACTTTGTCTCTGACATTAAGGGAGGAACACAGTTTGAGGGTGTTTGAGAGATGAAGTGACAGGAGGTTGGAGAAAACTGCATAATGAGGAGCTTCATAATTTGTACTCTTCTCCAAGTATAATTAGAATGATCAAGTCAAAGAGGATGAGGTGGGCAGGTCATGTAGCACGAATGGGGGAGATGAGGAATGCGTATAGGATATTGGTGGGAAAGCCAGAAGGAAAGAGACCACAGAGAAGACCAAGGCATAGGTGGGTGGACAATATTAGAATGGATCTTAGAGAGAGAGGATGGGATGGTATGGATTAGATAGATCTGGCACAGGATAGGAACCAGTGGAGGGCTCTTGTGAACACTGTAATGAACCTTCGGGTTCCATAAAATGCTGGGAAATTCTTGAGTAGCTGCAGAATTGGCGGCTCCTCCAGACGGGCTCAGCTCCATGAGTAAGTAAGTAAGCAACAAAAGAGATGGTGGTATGAAACTTGGTCTCTGACATGAAGGGAGGAACATAAACTGAGGGTGTTTGAGATCAGGGTGCCGAGGAGAATATTTGTACCAAAGAGAGATGAAGTGACAAGTGGTTGGAGAAAACTGCATAATGAGGAACTTCATAACTTGTACTCTTCTCCATGTATAATTAGAATGATCGAATCAAGGAGGATGAGGTGGGCAGGGCATGCAGCATGAATTAGGGAGATGAGGAATACATATAGGATATTGGTGGGCAACCCAGATGGAAAGAGAGCACTAGGAAGACCAAGATGTAGGTGGGTCAATATTAAAATGGGTCTTAGAGAGACAGGATGGGATGGGATGAATTGGATTGATTTGGCTGAGGACTAGGACCAATTGAGGTCTCTTGTGAACACGGTAATGAACCTTCAGGTTCCATAAAATGCTGAGAAGCCCTTGAGTAGCTGCATAATTCGCAGCTTCTCAAGGAGGGCTCAGCTCCCTGAGTGAGTGAACAAAATGGCTGAATTAGTTCCAAGTGAACAAACTGAATAATAATATTTCTAATTAAATTAAATTCAGCCTATCCAGTTCAGCATGTCAACAGACACAAGACACATTGGTCATTGAATTTTTGAAGGGCGGAAAAATTCAGGGAACAAGTCCTCCGGGAGGGACTTTAAGCCGTGGGTCCCATGTCGTAGATTTACGGCACGTAAAAGAACCTCATGTCTCTAAGAGACCTCTGAGCTAAATTAGGAAATAAGTTTCCCACCCAAAGTAGTTTCCAATGCCTCTGGTAAAGGGTGGATGTACCAAGGGCCAACCTTGTTGGCTCAACAGGGCTGATAGCACGCACCGTCTACCGGTAGGGTATGGGGACAGTAGAAATTAAAGGAGGACACACAATGGACCAATAACTGGTCTAAGTGCATGGGGAAACCTAACCCCTTCAACAACAACAACAATAGTAATAATAATAATAATAATAATAATAACAATAGATTTTGAAGAACCTGACCATGAGAAATGGATTTTATTTTTCTGTGATTAGTTCCTATAATCACATCTTGAGTTTAAGCCTGTTATTTTGTACCTAACAAAATGCAGTATGCATGTACTCATGGCTTTCCACATTATTTCAGTGGGATAAAGAAAACCTATCCATATTCAACCTGTGTAAATACAATTTTAAACTTAAGACTACTGGGCAGAGATGGTGGCAACAATGATGCAATAACTATCATATCATGCACTGAAATTATAATACTGATAACTGTTATAATAACCATAATAGTCCACACACTTATACAAGTATAAAAAATTTTGAGTTAAGCAATGTAAATATCATGTAAGTCAGAGGATAATTGCATGAAAAGTTTCTGAACAATCAATGTGAGACTCACCAAGTTACCATAAGTACCACATAACTGAATCATGAAATATATAAATGCATCCAATGTAAAGACAACTGTTTTATCAGTAAAGAAGTCTGGGTAATAGCATTTGTACTTTTGGAATCAAGTTCAACATCTGATTTCCCAATTTATTAAAATGTATACTATCCATCATAATATGGTAGATGATATAAATCATACATTAGTTAATAAAATCTGTTTCAGAGACTCGTATTTACAGAGGAACCATATAACCAGATCTTGAGAGGGAACATTTTAGTAAGGGTTCATCATCCTAAAACATGGCTTAGTATGACTTGACTTTGTATCATGGAGCTAACAGATGCAGGAAAACTCTTACTGCAGAAGGTATAAAAGCTAGATAATTTAAAAGAAACAGGTAGAAGAAAAAGAAAGTTCATTGGCTTCATATTTTCTTCTCAAGTGTTACTTATATTACTGTTGATTACTAATTATCAGAGTCTAATAATATCTACCATTTTCTGTACAACATAACAGGAAGAGGTACCGAGTAACATCAATTAAACATAGTAAGTGTTTTCAAATAGCAATACCGCATTTAATTCAATCAATTTTGCATCCTTTTTCTCAATTGTCTTCTGGGCTTGTTGTTTCTTACATTCATACATTCTAGTACCTGCAGCTTCCTCAATCATGGCAAGAATCTGTAAAAACAAAAGTGCTGTTCATTACTCTACATTCTTGTTGAACCATGGAGCATCTAGCATTAAGAATAATAATATATTATGGAACAGAAAACTTTTACACTTGCTCTGACAATGATGATAACAAGGATGATTATTTCTTAGACTGACAATGCCTTGCCTGCTAATCATCAGTTCTCCCCCTTGTCTCATTTTCTCACACAGTGCAGTATGCAACAAACAAATCATGCACAATTATGCTGAAGCTAAAGGAATTTTGGGAATNCTTAGACTGACAATGTCTTGCCTGCTAATCATCAGTTATCCCCCTTGTCTCATTTTCTCACAGTGTGTTATGCAACAAATCATGCACAATTATGCTGAAGCTAAAGGAATTTTGGGAATTATAGTTTACATAAAAGGGATAACTTCTCTGCAGCACATCAAAGAAATAAATTATTTTTACTAGGTCAATACAGCAACAAAGTTATATGCTGGATGACTGAGGGATTATGGTTCAAATCCCAGCAGGAGCAAGAGACTTTTCTATTCCTGACAGCATCCAGGCCAGATTTTGGACTGGAACTCAAAGGTTCATCACCCTCTTCACAAGAGCCCCCCACTGGTTCCTATCCTGAACCAAATAAATCCAGTCCATACCATCCTATACTATTTCTCTATGATCTATCTTAACATCATCTTCCCACCTACATCTAGGCCTTCCTAGTGGTCTCTTTCCTTGCAGCTTAACCACCAAATCCCTGCATGCACTCATGAAGTTACAGCCTTAGTCAAGATACATGGAGAGTTGCTACTATGAATAAGTGCAAGGAAGAATATGAAAATATTCTGTAATTACCTCTGGCGGTTTCATATTGAGCACCTTTGTGATGCGTCCTTGCATTTTAAGGAAATGTGGATTGTTCACATTGAGTTGAACTGAACAGAACAGATCCCTTACTCGATTGGTCTGCACATTTGAACCATTGATAAGATACTTGTTCTTGCCTCCAGTCACAATCTGAAAACAGTACCAAACTTGGATATCTTAACACCCAGTCCTCCTACATTTCGTTTATTTTCACAATTCATAATTTTGTAGCTTTTAATGATACAAAGAAAGCCTATGGTAGTGTAGATGAAAGAACTGTTTAGTCTAATTTGAAGAAATTAAATACAGTACACCCTGAATTACACATGCTAATTAAGAGCAAAGGGAGCATGAAAAAAAAAGATAATTCAAATTTCAGGTATGGTCAAGAGACCATGATTACTGGATACTGAAATTTGAATACAATATTGTAATAATATACAGACTAATAATGTTTGGCTTTAGGAAAGGAATTTCCATTGAAAATGCAGCCTTTAAGTTAACAGACAGTGTGTTGAACTATATTAATCAAAAAATGCATGTTGGTGGAATATTCTGTGACTTAGCAAAGGCTTTTGACTGTGTAAATCATGAAATTTTATTAACTAAATTACATTTTTTTTTTGACATTCAAGGAACAACGTTGGTTCAGATCCTACCTACCTAACAGAGAGAAAACAAAAGATTGAAATAAAATCATCAAATTCAATCCAAAGTACCTACTCAAACTGGGGAATATTAAAACATGGAATTCCAGTGGGGTCAATTTTGGGGCCTTTGCTTTTCATAATTTATATAAACGACCTCCCTCCTACACTAAGGACCTCATCAATACCTATATTATTTGCAGATGACACTAGTGTTATAATTTCTGGTAAAAATTCAGATGATTCTGCACGTTATCAAGCAAGGTTCTTTTGCAAACGAGTAAATGATTTTCTGCAAACAAGCTGTCCCTGAACCTAGAAAAAACAACTGTAATAAAATTTATAACAAAAAACTAACCACAATATCCATTAACATAGGATATAATGATAAATATATAGAAGAGGGAGTAAACACAAAATTCCTTGGCTTGCAAATTGATAATCATTTAAACTGGAAAAACCATATCGATCCGTCGATTCCAAAGTTTAGTAGAGCATGTCATGCAGTTAGATTCATGTTACATATTAGTAACATTGACACTCTCAAATCAACCTATTTTGCTTATTTTCACTCTTTAATGAAGTACGGAATAATTTTCTGGGGTAATTCATCTGACAGTAAAAAGGTATTTACATTGCAAAAGAAAACTGTCAGAATCATGATGGGTGCCAAATTCCGTAATCTATTCAAAAGACTACAGATCTTAACTTTGCCTTGGGAATATATACGAGGGGGAGCCAAAAGAAACCGAACTTATTTTTTTTAACTTATTTATTCAAATTTTAAGCACAAACCTTCAATCCCCTTCAAAGTACTTTCCACTTACACTAATACACTTGTCTAGTCTTTTATTCCATTTTTCAAAACATCGTATAAATTCATCTTTTGAGATGCTTGACAGCGCCTCCGACGTTTTTTCCTTCACCTCAGCAACATCAACAAAACGCTTTCCTGTCTCTTTTCATTTGAGGAAACAAAAAAAAAGTCGGGACTCTTCTTTCAAAGCACAGCATGCTTCCACGCGACCTTGTTTTTGTTCAGCAGTCAGTAGTCGTGGCACGAATTTCGCAGCCACCCTTTTCATTCCCAAATCTGTCAAAATTCGCTGAACTGAGCTCCAAGTCACTCCCAACAGTTCCACAATTTCTTCAATGGTCCAGCGTCGATCTTCCTTGATGATTTCACGAATTTTTTCAACATTTTCATATGTTTGGGCCGTGGAAGGACGACCAGAACGAGATTTGTCATCAACTGACATTTCACCATTTCTGAAACGGGAAAACCACTCAAACACTTGAGTTTTCCCCATAGCATCGTCCTTGTACGCCGCTTTAACATTTCAAGAGTTTCTGTTCCACTTTTCCCGAGCAAAAAGAAGAATTTCACCGCTGCACGCTGTTCACGAAAATCAGACATTGCAAAAACGATGATCACACAAAACAGTTGTCACTATAAACTCTGCTGAAATTAGTCCTTACTTCTGAAGCAACGGCAGTCGGCTTATCGACTCAGGAATGTTAGCTCTATGCGCTCATAGCGGCAAAACGCGGTACTACAAAAGCTCTGCCCACAAAAAAATTAGTTTGGTTTCTTTTGGGTACCCCATCGTACACCCATTGCTTGGCAATGTCTTGGTAAACAAGTTCCCATGAAGACAGACTCTTGGTAAATAGTCTGTTGTTAGGTCACACAACAACAGAGGAAGCAGTGTTTTCCATGTACGTGGTGACATCACAAAAGTGGATAGTGGTCACGCGCTATGTTTTTTCTGTAGATCCAACTGACACACCAATCGGCTGACTGGATAGCGATCACGTGATATGTGTTTACTATAGGTCCATGTCCATTCCTCGGCTATATAAGTAAAGCAGTTATCAGTTATGAATAATGGTGGAAGAAGCACGCAAACAAGCAAGGAGATAATGATAGGAAGTTCGTAGTTGAAGGAGCACTAGAAGTCAGCCTGTGAAGACTTAATGTGTGATTAGACGACTTTATTTATTTGTAATATTTGGATTGTCTAATTCAGTGAGACTGTTATAGTTCCTGTGTTATAAACCCGTGAAGACTAATGCAGACAGACTGAAATATTATTGTGAATTGATTGTACATTGTGTAAATCAGCAATAGTGTAATAATTAATTGTAGTTATGAACTGAAGGTTATTAATAAATTTAATTACCAATCCAAACCCCGTCTTTGGCTACTGTGACAATATGAAAAGGACTATATAGTAATAACCAAACAATTAAAGAAAAATTTAAATTATATCACAGTACGAATGCAAAATGTAAGTTTGGGACGAGATCACATTTGCAAATTTGAGAACAAACATACACACACAAAGAAACAAGCTATACTAGTACAGAAAGTGCAAATTTAAAAATTTGAAATTTAAGGAATAAAAACACAAAATGGAAGAATTTAATACCACTTTCCAGTGACATCCCAGGCCTTCATATTGTTCATCTGTTCCTACAGCATGCTTTCACACTTACTGCATATTTAAAGAGTTACCCATGCATTTTCTTGCAAGCGTAAAATAGAAACAGGAAACGCAATAAAATAAAAAAAGAAGACATCATGCAAGAAAATGACAAAATTTTCCATACAGACACGAAGTCCTGCTTTTCTCTTTTTCATGTTTGTTATTTTAATGGTAGGAAATATCCACTAACTGATGGAAACTGAAACAGTGGAACCTCGCTTAACGAGCAGCTCTCATAACGAGTAATTTGTATAACAAGCAAAACAAATTGTAAAAAAATGACTCGCTTAACGTGCGATGTTTCGCATAACGAGTGACGAGAGGGGAAGTCCCGGATTGTGCGCTTGCTACATCAGTCTCTGTTTAACACTCGTTCCACTAGCATCTTAGTGTCACTTGTGATCACACATTTTTCCAAACTTGTGTTCAGACATATCATTTGTGATTTCTTTTTGTGCAAAGTTTAATAACTCTTGCAAAAATGTCCCCGAAGAAAAAAACCACAAAAAGACAGCCATAAGAGAATAAAAATAACCATAGAAATGAAACGTAAACTCACTGAAAAGCGAGAACGAGGTGTGAACATGGCTGATCTAGCACGCACATACAATCAGTCTACATCAACGATTTGCACTATCCTCAAGAAGGAGGAGGAGGAGGAGATAACGGCAAAGCAACAATCTTCTGGTGCAATAAGAGAAATGCTGAAAGCATGGGAAACTGTTGCATCGTACACTGAGAAGCATCACCCTAATAAGGCAGTGGCTATGCGCACTACAAATTTATTTAATGATAATGTTGTGTCGCATTTTCACCAAATTTTGAAGCGTCGGCAAAAACAAATGTGTCTAGACAGCTTTCTAGTAAAAAAAAGAATTAGATATGTATCATAAATAATAAACTAATTATTTCGATTTTTTTCTTGTTTTCTGCAAATCAGATTCACATTCCAGGTTGGTTCATTCCGCAAAGAAGAAAAGATGAAGATGATTCACGCTCCTTAACAATGTATATATAATTTTCTTCGAATAAACGTTATACATAAAATTTTTCCAGTATTTTTTCAGCATGGAATGCATTATCGTATTTTACATTAATTTATTTGGGGAAAATTGTTTCTCTTAATGAGCGTTTCGCATTACGAGTAAGATTCTGGAACGAATTATGCTTGTTAAGTGAGGTTCCACTGTATTAGATAATCAAAATGTCATGCAATTTTTAACTAAATCAACTTTTAACAACTGGCAAGACAATATATTTTACATGCTTTTCATTATCTCCCCACCTTGCACATATGAACTTATGATTGAAAACTTCTGGACAGCAGGGTGATGGTGACCCACCTCAGAAGTTTAAAATTTAAAAATATTTAAAAATATTTAAAAATACAGTGCAGGGCAACCCTGGAATTGCATGCCCTTCATAAGGGGTTACATGGAAACACAACTGGTTCAAAAGTTATTTGAGGACACACAATGACAAGTTGATTTCACAGGATATGAACATGAGTCTCAGCCATTTACAACAGTGGAAAGACTTACCTAGCCATTCATGTCAACAGCTGGTCATAAAAATACATCTCACCTGTCTGGTAACTGTTATCTCTTCAAACTCTTCATAACCAAGTGGACTCTGTGTCCTGTCATGATTGTCAAACGTCAGGGTCACACTTGCCTTGGTAATGCCAGCCTGACCTCCTTTGTACACCAGCTCTTGTAGGCTTCCAGCACGTACCTTTCGGAATTAAAGCAACAAAGCACATGAAGAATACTGTCTTCTAAGATGTGACGCTGTAGTAGAGTAAATATTTACTGATGTCTTGGAGAAAATGTGTCACCTCATTTTCGGGATATACGAGTAATAGTAAGTCAGGGGTAGAGAAAACACAAACACTATATTCAACTAAATAATAAAATTGACAAACTATCTAGTCAACTACAACTACACGGAAGCACACACTCACCTAATAAGCAAACATTTTATCCACGTTTGCGCAATATGACTAACATTCAACTCTCAGAAAAGGAAGAAAGNCACCTGTCTGGTAACTGTTATCTCTTCAAACTCTTCATAACCAAGTGGACTCTGTGTCCTGTCATGATTGTCAAACGTCAGGGTCACACTTGCCTTGGTAATGCCAGCCTGACCTCCTTTGTACACCAGCTCTTGTAGGCTTCCAGCACGTACCTTTCGGAATTAAAGCAACAAAGCACATGAAGAATACTGTCTTCTAAGATGTGACGCTGTAGTAGAGTAAATATTTACTGATGTCTTGGAGAAAATGTGTCACCTCATTTTCGGGATATACGAGTAATAGTAAGTCAGGGGTAGAGAAAACACAAACACTATATTCAACTAAATAATAAAATTGACAAACTATCTAGTCAACTACAACTACACGGAAGCACACACTCACCTAATAAGCAAACATTTTATCCACGCCTGCGCAATATGACTAACATTCAACTCTCAGAAAAGGAAGAAAGGTTGTTAAACAAAGGAAGCAAATATAATATGGGTATCTCACCTAAATTAGTTATAAAACAATTAGTCTATGAAACAGAAAATGCGATAAGGCAAATAAAAGACTTCAATCAACAAGAAGCTATTAGATACCTAGCGACAAAAAACATACAACAAATAACGTCTAAATAAAACATCATAAATAAGGAATACAAAGAACAAATTTATACGACCAAACAAATGCAACAAAAACTTGCACAACACGAAGCTACTATAGCAGAAGCCGATAAAGGAAAAACACTAGTTATCATTTATAAAGAAGACCTGGACAAAAAAGTGAATTCTTTTAGCGAAAATAATAACATCTCTGAATTAGGAACAGACCCTACACAAAAATTTCAAAGAAAAGTACAAAACACTTTGAAAGAATGTAAAACTATAATAGACCCAACAAAAAGAAAACATGTTCACCAAATGAACGCACAAGCACCTAAACTGAAAGCAAAAATTAAAATTCACAAACAAGGGGCCCCAATTAGACCAGTAATAAATAACACTAATGCACCCACACATAAACTAGCTAAATACATACATCAAAGAATAAACGAACACCTAAAATTAAAATACGAGTACAACATCACTAACACAATACATTTTGCAGAAAACATAAGAAACTTAAAACTAAACGCAAATCATAAACTACTAACATTGGATATTAAAGACCTATACTGGCAGTGTAGAAGTACCGGCCCCCCAAGGAAGAATGAAAGTGATCTTAAGGATAGTCACATGGACATC